GCACAGCACAGCACAGCACAGCACAGCACTCCATCATTCAGATAAATCACATACTACCTTTTATGTCAAGATCAATACCTATGTCACGCTTGGCAGCTTTTTTTTTTTTTTTTTTTGTACTTCCTCTATCCCCCTCCCCTCCCCCCTTAGTGTATATTAGACTATCTCTCTCTCTATATATTACCTATACATACGATTGATTTCAATCTGTCAATCAAATTTGTTTGTCAAAATACATCCGTTTACTTATAGTATGATGATGTTTCGTTTGGTGTTAAGACAAACACTCATTGGGACTGAACCTGTCTGAACACGAACCAAGGACTTGGCATTAAAACCTCGGTCATGTCATGTCCAAAAAGCAAATAATAAATCAAAAGCCAAATAAATTTCTGAAAAAATTATAAATGTATCAATTGCTTATATTCTCATAACAATACAATAGAACGCATTTTTAAACAAAGTATTTATATTTGAACTAATTTTTTTTTTTCAAGAAGAAAAACATTTATTTTGGAAGTGATCTAAAGATGTTGATTGCTAAAGAAGCCGTACTTAGCCATCATAAACAATTAACTTATTTCCATTAAACAGTTAGTGAGCTTTAATAAAGGTATATAAAACCTACTATAAATTATTTCATTCATGATATTTTGCTCTAGGCTTTTCAGTTCAACCTAGCTCCATTCTGATCTCAAAAACCCACTGGAATCCAGTAAATCGAAAACACTATATATATTTATATGAATTTGAATCGTTCAAATAATTTTCTATTTCTGTATCAGATTTGAAACCAAAACATCTTCTTTCTATATTATAAATATTTTTTATTTTTATCAGTGCATTAATAGCTTTTTGGGAGGATAATAATGTACTATTTCAAATAACTAAATGATTCATTTCCGCATCCAAATTAAGTGCACTGTGAAACTATCTCCGGTAGAAATTGAGCAGTCAGTTACAAAAACGAGACTTTTTAAGTTCCACTTACCGCTTGAAGTATTAGCAAATCCAGGTTGTAGCGAAAGGACAAGAAAGACGAGACATCCAAATATCATTTCATAATCCATTGTTTATCGAGAAACGAGTTCACTTCAGGAGATACAACAGTCTCAGTCAACAGTTGCTGCAAATGGCAGATGTCGTTGTTGACTTGGGCTGCGTTTTCTAGGCGTTTTTTTTAAGAACTCTCAGTTGATGACAGAGCGGGTTACAGACTTGTGTTGTCGGTTTAGTGGATAGAATCCAAACAGCTCTGAAAGCGACAGTAGAGCGCTTAAACACAATACGGAGATGATAAGTTGTATGACTCGAAAATGAAAAGAGTTTTCGGCATTCGAAATATTTGCATAGTATAAACAATGTCTGATAAATTAATGCAGACAAAGTCAGGAAGTTGATATAAGTGACCTTTAGGGAACACGTATTTAAGAAGAGGTATTTATATATTTGACATATGGAAGTGCGATAGTTAAAGGAAGAGAAAAGAGGAGAGGAGAAGATAGCCTATTGTCTGGTGAATTAATGCAGCCAAGAGTAAGGAAATTGAGGTTGATCTTTAGGGGCATGTGTCCAAGATGAGGTAGTCAATATTTGACACTGATAAATTGCAATAGTAGATGAAGAGAGGAGAGGAGAGGAGAGGAGAGGAGAGGAGAGGAGAGGAGGCAGGGAGAAGAGCTCGAGAGAAGAAGAGAAGAGAAGTTTTTAAAAAATAATTGGGATAGTACGCGCGCTACGATTGGTCGAAAACCATGTTTGACAAGGGTATCAAAACACGCTATCGTCATTTTTATAAATACATCAGAATAATACAATATTTTTYCCCCCGTTTTTTGGCGTATTTGTTATTTTATAAAACAGATCAAAAAACAGTTTTTCGTGTTTGATCTGTTAACTTAAGAACGTGAGTAGAATAGCGCAGCGCAACCGTGACGTCATAAAAACGAAGACAAAGGCGAAATTCAGACAAACAAACTTACAAGTTTACTTTCAGCAGACAATTTTCACAGCCGATCGCAGTTGATTTTAGTTTACATGGGTTATTATTGTAACTTTAAGTAAAAATAATAAGATCGGTTCGCATAATCCTCGTAACGGTTAAACAGAATGCAATGTTTGTCCGAATCTTTAAGCTATTTTTAGAATCAGTGCGCTGCGCTATTGATCGCTTCCAAAAAATAAAAAATTGCACATTCAAAACACGTTAAAGCACACCTTGAAATAAATCAATAAATAATCCATCACTTTAGCAATGCATTAATTGAAATTGATTTATATCACCAAAATTTTAATTTCAACTCCAAGGAAATGAACTCGAGGTATACTCACAAACAATAAGTCACAATTACCATTCAAAGGTCCACATATTTTGTTATCAAACCATAGCAATTCTTTAAACTTTTTTTATCTCAATAATACTCCTATATCCGTGATGATTAAGAGCTATTTAATAATTTATCGGAAAACTGAAAGAAGTTTACTATGGAACTTGTCATACGATAATATAGTAAAACTGCACAATGTTGTAAAGATTGCGTAACTGTTACGGAACTTTGCAATTTTACTATTATCAATGAGACCAATATTTTAAATTCAAATTTAAGTTCATTACTTATTTTGATAATAAACTTTCTTTTCCGATAAATAAAGACATTTTGTAATGTTGGTTTGTTAATAGATTAATTATACAGCTTCTCATTAATCCCATATATAGGTAACTGTCCAATTATTTTCTTAATTGGACAGGTCTTGTTGATATGGGATTAATTAGGCAGCTATATAATTAATAGGTAATGGGATTTCATGCTCCCCAATCAAGAAATAATTAGACTCGAAAAATTCCCCCGACTGCCAATTTGGACTTGGCTTCTGCCTCATCCAATTTTATCAGTCCTCGGAATTTCCCTCGTCCAATTATTTCTTAATTGGACACCATGGACTCCTATTACATATACTAATCATGTTATTTTCGTGACAGGGACAGTTTGGTGAGACATTAATTCCCTTTCAACGGAAACTAACTTATTCATTTTCATTACTTTAGTTGTTTTACCGGAATTCTCCGACGTCCAATTGTATCACCTCGTTACTATTTCTGTCTCACTTCCTTTCGTTGATGTTTCACAATGGTACAGCGGAATTTTGTAGTGGAATTGATTTTAGAATGGATGTTTCGTTCATGGTGAGTTTTGCTTTGGCTCTAAACCAATCAAAATGTTCGAGAACATCGTGAGTTCCGCCCTATTCCAAACCAATCACATTTCGAGAAAGTGCATGCACTTGAGCATTGTGACTTCCGCCCTATTCTAAACCAATCACATTTCGAGAAAGTGCACGCACATGAACATTGTGACTTCCGCCCTATTCTAAACCAATCACATTTCGAGAAAGTGCATGCAAGAGAATATGAACTAAGAGAAGGAATCCTACCTATATATCCTTGTAACCATCATGTGCACAGTTTGATGCTATTTTTAGCTTGGAGATATTTTGAGTGAAGAACCTGACTGGTTGATTTCTTGAGGGTAGGCGGCTTCCAGTCTTGCAGTAAACAAAAACCTGTGTTTTTGTCGTGGACGTAGCGAAATATGTCGCATTTCGCGTCCTAAAATGAGGCATTAAAGGAAAGCATGATTTTTGCGCGGGTATGGTAACGAGTTAAAAATAGCATCAATGATTCTAAAAATAGCATCAAACTGTGCACATGATGGGGAACGGGGATTCCTTTTCTTAGTTCATTTTCTCTTGGTGCATGCACATCGACTGACCAATCATAGTTCGAGAAAGTGCATGTACATGGACATTGTGACTTATAAAGCCCTATTCTAAACCAATCACATTTCGAGAAAGTGCATGCACATGGACTGATTGTGACTTCCGCCCTATTCTAAACCAATCACATTTCGAGAAAGTGCGCATAACTATTGTGATTTTTTCAACTGGCATAGAGGAAATAAATACAGGTCTCTTCAGTTGGTAACTTAAAAAAACCTTCTCATTTTAGCCATATATAATTCCTTACTATCAATCACGTGACTATTGGAGTTGACTGAGGGGCAATTATTATGCAAGTCAAAACATGCCAAAATAAGTACGTAAGTATCATATCTCACTACTCACTATTTTTACGGTCTGAAACCAGAAATCAATTAAGGTACACATACAACCTTCAAGATCCGCCAAGCTTCTAAATGTTAATTTCCTCGTAGTCAAAACACAGATATTACCGGTAGTGACGTCTATTGATAGTTGACTATTGATGTAAAACATTTTTAACAGTCCAAGTAGACCAGACTGAATCACCACACTTGACCTTATTTTTTTTCACAGATCAGACATGACAAAGCTATTTTAGATTATTCCAGATGTACAAGAATTTGTTTCTATAATACAGTACTATTTCTAGCAATAATTGAAGGTGACAAAGAATGTCAGTTGTATCGAGAGTGGGTTCCCTGTGGCGCCTTTGCGCAAAAGATCGCACATGGATTCATTGACGCAAATGTTCCTAGACTTCAGGCATTATTTGCTAGACACTACGAAACGAAAATAGGCGAATTACATAATTACCATGACTGTCTGACGAAAGTAAGTATGCGGTAATATGTCAGCAGAAAGAAAGAACGCTCCAGTGAAAAACAGGTAAAAGATTTAAAAAATATGTAGAGGGTATTACAAGGTGGCGCGACCATTTTTCAACACGAGAAGATAATTAAACTTCATATCCTCAAGCCAACGTGTGAATTTATTTTTATTATATAGGCACATTCACAAACAAATTTTTTTGGAAAACACTGGAAAGCATTGGAAAGGCCGTTATCGATAGTCAGAGTATGGAAAAGATGTCATCTGATATCCCGGATGTAGTTCGTGTGAAAAATACAATGGCGTATCTCCCAGTAAAATACTGTCTATAGGTTGCTATCAATAGACGTCACTTCCGGCAATAGCTATTTTTTGATGGCTTGTAGAATCCTGGAGGTTGTTTTGATCTCTTGTTTTTTGGTTTGATGTTGTGAAAATAGTCAAATACAATAGTTTGAGGACTTATTTTGATATGTTTTGACTTAGCATCCGCTAGTTGCCCCCCAGTCAACCGCTTGTTTGCCCCCCAGTCAACTCAAAAAAGTCGGCCACGTGATTAATAGTAAGCAATATAATAAATAATCGTAAACGAGTTCTCAATTAGCCTACATTTTGTGTCTTTAACATCAAGTGTTTTTCAATTTATTATTTGTATTGCTGATAATATTAATAATATTTATTCAGCCCCTAATTAATATGATATCTACGTCACCTGTGAAGGTGATCGATTTACCAAACAGAAGGGTCCTTTTGCATTTATAATAAGTAGTATATGTAAATATTCTGAAGCCTGCCGGCTGTTTGAAGCTAAAATCGCGTATACCCCTGAGTCTGAAATTAAATAATAAAGGAGTATTCATAAACTCGAACAATATGTCTATTGAAATGTTGAACAGAATCCTTGGTGCATTTGATCCTGGGACTGTAGGACGCTTCTATGATGATTTATTTTTAAGTTTTTGTGCACGTGTTTTATTTATAGTTTGATCTCAAATAAAAAGAGAATGAAAGAGAGAAAGAAAACATCAAGGCCACTATATATCTGTTTCGTGCAGTTTAAAATGCGTAGTTAGCAAATGGGGGTAAATAGTTTGATTTCGTGATTTGCCTTAATTTATAGGAAGTTTGGAGAAATAAATTAGCAAATGAAACCATCTTAAGCTTTTGGTAAAGTTCATTGTGTTACTTCAAAAACTGCTATTTTGGTATACACTATAAAACAGAATGAGTCATATAGTGTTCAGTGTGAAATCTTAGTATCTTGAGGCGTTAGTAGGTTATTGGTAATAGGCTTTAGCAAAGCCAATATAAGAATCTTAAAAGACGAGATAACTTTTCAAATGGGTAGACAACTGACTATGAGTTCCTTACATATAATGAGAGCAGTGAAAATTTC